TCTGTGTAGACTCATGTAAATTCAGTATAGTTACAGCTATTGAAAAATACATGAATATAACCTTCTTAAAATATGTTTTTAGAGGTAAAGGTATTTTTAGCTTCCACAGGTACAAATTAGTAGTCTTCCCTTTTACTCACTCTCTTGAAAGAGTACAGATTCTCTTCCACAATGGCACATTTTACAAAAGATATAGCAGCAATATATAATCTATAGACCACTTTTTATTCATTTTAAAAGGTGATTGAGCACAGCTGAATTGAAGTACATACAATCTGAAAAATCTTTTCAGTTTTTCAGGCAATCTCATTAAATGATGAAGAGTCTACTTAGCAGCTCATCTCTTTTATGTTGTCATTGAATAAAGAACTGGAATCATGCCATTAATTGTCCATCAGAAAGAACGTTAGGCTTAGGTACACTGAAACACTAAATAAGACTGAAATCGAGAGGCTCAACAGTAACTCTGAATGTTTTTTGTTTTATAACATTGTGTAATATTAAAAGATATTCTTTCATAGGGAGGTGGGCACAGATAAAACAAGAATAACAAAATATTAATAGATCTTGAAACTAAGTGATAGATAAATGGGGGTTTGTTATGCTATTCTCTTTGGGGTATATTTGTAAAACATTCAAAATAAAAAGTTAGAAACAAAATAATGCATATCAATAGAGGGGTACAAGGTTGCCCAAGGTATTTGGCTGACCAAGGGCCACAAGAAAGCTGAAGGTTGGAAACTCAGAAAAGGAGTGACAATCTCGGGATGCAAGGCTTCCCGGGGCCTAACTGAAGCTGGTAGCTGGAAACAAATAACTAGTGCTGATAAAGGAAAATCTTTGCTAATGAGCCAGCAACTAAATTTTATATTTTCTTGGCAAATGAAAGAATTAGAGAAATACTAAGAGTGATTGCCAAACTTTCATATTTTTATTCACTTTTTGGTCCCGGTTAGTCATGCATGTAGCAGCTAATTTTGGTCCTGCCTGAATCAAGTAACAAAGCCAATTGTAATAATGACCAACATTTATTGAAGGTTTATTATGTGTCACACATATGCTAAGCATCTCACATGAATTATTTTGTCTAATATTTCTCAAGAAACCTGCAAGATAAGTCTAACAAAATTATAGGTATGAAAACTGACCTTAGCTAAGTAGTTTATCTTACATTACAGTACCAGATGAGCCATGGCATTTTGACTCTAGAACCCATATAATCATTTAAAAAAAAATTCAGACTTTTTGAAATTCACTCTACCCATTTAATACATCTCCAAGATCTGAGCATGCATTGCCTTTAGCTGTTGTTGTCTTATCCCTCACTCTCATGCAACCCTAACACTGCTCTCCTATCCTGGGCCCTACTCACGTGATCCTACTCTGCTCTGTGGCTTGGTCTCTCATGGAATTATTTGCTCTTCTACTTGGGCCATGTAACCACTTCGAAAAGGTTACAGTTGCTTCCCAATTCTAATTCCCTTGATATTTTGGAACTTTAACCTTACCAATTCCCACTACTATACATTTGCTAGAAACAGAACCATATCCCCTCCAACATTCATATGTTGAAGTCCTAACCCCAAACATGACTGTATTGGGAGGTAGTGTCTTTAGGAGGTAATTAGGGTCAAACAAAGTCATAATGGCAGGGCTTTAACCAATAGCATTGGTGGTCTTATAAGAAGAGCAACAAAAAGAAATCTCTCAGGGCATGAACAGAAGAAAGGCCCTGTGAGTACATAGTGAGAAGGTAGCTTATCTACAAGCCAGGAAGAGAGCCCTTCCCAGAAACTGAGCCCTAACAAACTTTGATCTGCAACTTGGTTTCCGAAACTGTGAGAAATACATTTCAGTTGTCTACCCAACCTGTGGTATTTTGTCATGGTAATCCCAGTGGACTAACACAACATCCTGTCATTTCCTGCTTTAGCTTCCACTTCAAATGCTTCTGGAAAAAGCAGAAAATGACTTGCTTCTCTAGAAACAGCATTTTGAAGGAGCTCTAAATTTGGAACCACAAGACTGGATTTTAAGTCATGACATTGTCACATATTAGCTGTGTGACACTGGAGAAGTCATTTAAGTTCTTTGGGTCTGTTTTCTTTGTAATAAACACAATTAGAAAAATATCTGCCATCCCTATTTCAACAATAAAAGAAAAAATATAGTAAAGATATAAAGTTGTATTATCAATGACAGCTAACCCCTTACTGATACTTAGAGATACTGTATCTGATACTGATACTTACCTTTCATTAGCAGCCTTCCTACCAGTGTTGTCAGTGGACCTCTGCCATTAATTACTCATGGTCCCACTTGGGTATCTGACCTTGTCCTTTAATATATTCCAGAACATTGAAGCCCTCTGACTACAGCTTTTGTAACTTCTGTAGCAATATGTCAGTTTCTGATCCCATTCTCTCCGAGAAGATTGACTTATGCCTCCTTTTTTTTTTCCAGAATAACATCTCTATCAGGAAACTCAGTTGCTCCAACATCTTTCAACTTCACTAAGAGTAGATCAGTTATTACCTTTCATTTCAAATATGCTCGAGTCCTTTGTACTCAATGACAAGCCCTTGACCTTGAACTTCTCAAGCTATTCTCCCATTTCTCTCTTCCCGTTAATTGACATGATTTCAAAAACCTTCCTACTCATATCTTCCTCCAGTGTACTTTTTGCAGTCTGTCATCAATCCAAATTATGGTTTTTGATCCTGCTTGCTCCCACATTAAGGCTTTGCTTAGAATCACATACAGCCATTATTTCTGCCTATCAGTTTTCCAAGGTTTACCAAACATATCACCCCTTCTATGAAGTCTTCCCTTACATAATTTCTTCTAAGCTCCCAAATAGCTTAGTCTGTACTTTTGATAGCTTATTTGCATTCACTGTAGTATCATTATTTGTGTATCTTTACAAGATTATAAGCTCCCAAGGCTCTCAACTTAATATCCCATAATCATTTAGTAAATGTTCAACAGACATTATCAAACCGATCTTAAACTATATAATCAAGGTATTAGTTCAATTGGGACGAACATAGGGCTTGGATTTTTTTTGGAGAAAGATCAAACTTCAATTTGAATATGGGCAAAGAGAGACTGGGCCTGTTTATACAAGAGACAAAAAGGATTAAAATCCTTCTAGCCATTTTCTGCCTTCGTTGAAACAAAGTAACAATAGCCAATAGTAGACTAGCTTGCATGTAAGTGTTCAATAAATGTTTCTTGAATTATAGAAAAAGTGAATGCTTAAGGTAATCCTAGAATTATATATTAAATAGTGAGATTTAGAAAGATTCCAGGAGGTGTGACTCACACCTGTAATCCCAGCATTTTGGGAGGCCAAGGTGAGTGGATCACTTGAAGTCAGGAGTTCGAGACCAGCCTTGCCAACATGGCGAAACCCTTACTAAAAAAATAAAAAATAAATTTAAAAATTATCTGGGGTGGTGGCCCATGCCTGTAGTCACAGCTACTCAGGAGGCTGAGGCAGGAGAATTGCTTGAGCTTGGGAGGCAGAGGTTGCAGTGAGCCAAGATCATGCCACTGCACTGCAGGCTGCAAGACTCCATCTCAAAAAATGATGGGAGAAAAATCTAATACAGAACTTTGAAGACAGGAACAACATCAAAAAAATCTTTGCATAATTTGACGTCACTGAACCTGACTTTCCCCACCCCCCGATTCCTAAGATAGTCGATAATATAACCATTCCACTAAAGTTATCTTGAAGGCACAGGCTTAACTAAATATATATTTTTTAAATTCTAACTCTTTGAAAACTGGTAACCAACATATGGATAAAGGACAGCTATTCAGTTAAATCTATATTTCTAGATCACAGTGAAGAACATAGGGTAGATGGATTATCCAATTAGCCAAGTAAGTTTGTGTTTAGAGAACCAGAAATATGAGACATTTCTGCTACAATGAATGTATGACACAACTTGTAATCAGAAATTCTAGTAAGAAGCTGTTAAAATTGAAGCACTCATTTAAATTTTGGATTTGGATTCTGTTTTTTAATTTTAAATTTTAATATGGTGGGAGGCTTGGAAAGAAGACATCTAAGACTTTCTAGTGCTTATGGCACTATGTGAACATAGTTTTAAATACTGTTTTAAGCTTGATTTATAGAAAATACGTAAAAGGTACCAAATGCTTTTAAAAAACACAGTATCCAATAATCTTTTCCAGAATACAATGTTTCTATCATCTTTTCAGAAAAAATGCACTCCCTCCTGGTTATTCTATCACAGCAATCTAAACAACAATGCCTCAAGTAACAGATGATAATTATCTCATAAATATGCCATTTTGATAACTGAATGTAATAATTAGTAACTGCTTAGAATATTTTCTATCACATGAAAGTGGTCTAGCTCTTATTGGGCTTTTAATAAGATATGACTTAGCTTCAGTGTGAGATTTTCTCAAATGTTAAGAAAATAAAAGTGCATCAGCACACAAGGTTTTGGGAAGAACATTTTATTGCTAAGCATATCCTTGAACGAAAATGCAAATATGAACTAAAAGAAAAGAAAAAAGAAAAAGCAGTAATGTCACAACATCATAAAATAAATTCCTTTAGGTTCTGCTAATAAAACAGGAATATGATAGAAGCTCACATAGAGAATGCACATGTTCCCATAAAATTGTCCAAATAGAAACTTACACTAAAAGGAATATAACAAATGTATTATTACTCAAATTGAAAAAATGAAAGAAAGCAGGAAATCAGTTCACAAGACCTCAAGACTCCAAGAACAGCAATCTTTTACAGACATCGAGATATAATCAACTTCGTATAGGCTGGGCCATTTAGGTTATCTAAAATCGTGCTTTGATATCTCTTTATAATCCTGTCTTTTAAAAATGATAACAAAAAAATTAAACTCTTAACACATTGAAATATTAGATAATGAGGAACACCTCTTTCCATACACATTAGTAAAGGCTACCATTTAGATTGCGCTTTTTGCCCCATGTCGTTAAGATATTTTTTCAAAGTCAAATATTCATGCAACTTACAAAGACCAGCAAGAGTAGATTTCTAAATCTAAACAGCTGATTGATTTTCATCTGTACAAAAGAAATTGTCTATCTCTAACCCTCCAGAGGACACACGTCATTTTTGTGTGAATATTTGTCTTGCTTTGTCTCTTGCTTTTTGGATAGCTATGGCCATACAACCAGTTTATTGTTTTTCTGTACATTGTTTCCTCTTTACAAAAAGAAAAAGACAACCAGAATATAAACCAAACAGAAATAAACAGGAAAAAAAACCACAGTTCTTAAAGCAGTATGTACATAGGTGGCTAAGGAATTATACCAGCAAAGATGTAGTAAAATATGTAAACAAAATCTGAAGTTTTTTTTTTTAAATTCTCTTTGACACAGTTAACTGTGACAAAACTAAAATTCACACTTTCTTCACATTTTAAGGTTTGCTTTTTTGTTGTTTTGTTATTTTCTTTTAAAACAACATTCTCATTCCACTTCAAGACTTTAACAGATTTCCTGTGTCAGTCATCCCATCAAACATACCATGATAAATATATCTGTATATATATTTATTTATATATATATTATACTATTAAATTCCTTTTTTGTGTGTGTCACAGCAGCTTTATTCATTTATTTATTTGTTTTTAAAAAAGATGGGTGAAGGGAGAAGTGAGCAAATGGAAGGACAGAATTATCCATAAATGTCAGGCTACAAAATTAAACCACTATGAAAACCATTGTCATGTTCGGGGCGGGGAAAGAACTATGTGTTTTGTACTCTGGCATGACGTTTGGCTTGTGTGACCTTTTGTGGTTCCATCTCGAGTTGAACTCCCCTACTGTCTGGTTTGATAATTTAACAGACTTTAATACTGTCTTTTTTTTTTTTTGCATGCATGCATTTCAATCAGTCACAGATCCAGCCCACCTCCCCTTCCTCTTCCCTAGGAAAGGCTATTTTAGTTTGTGGGGCTTTCTTCTTTAACACAATTTGGCTGGGTGAATGGACAGGAACAATATTGTTAAGTAAAGCCAATAGCTCTGATAACACCAGCCCTAAACCCATCTGTTCGGGGTTTGGGTGGTGAATTCTGAAATTAGATCCTGGGGGACCAGCTTTTTGAATCAATATTATCATCCGTCACATGAATTTTGCTATGTGTTCAGCAAAGCATCTTATAGGAAACAAACAACAGATTCTAGAGACACCATAACCTGATATGTAGAGTGAACACCATGGTAGCTTTTGAGTTTATATGGCAATAGTCTCTCTCACTTTTGAGTTTTTTCCTCTTCCGATGTCCAGTCATTATCAAAAAAATAAACAAAAACCCAAAAGCCATTTTTCCCCTCAGACCTTAAAGTTACACGCACACTGGTCAGAACCAGATAAGGGTTGTGGGTTTTTTTTGTTTGTTTGTTTTTGTTTTTTGGTGGTTTTTTTTTGTTTTTTTTTTTTTTTTACTTTTTTCTTTTTTTGTTGTTGTTGTAGTTTTGTTTTTTACATAATTAAACCGAAAAAACATGGTTACAGTCAAGCTTCACAAACATCATTACAGACTCACTTGGAGTTATGGAACAAGTAAGCCATGAAGTCTTCTACCTTTTAGGAAAAGGTCCTGCGGAGAAGGAAGCTTCCAGGCCTGCGGAAGTGGTGGAGCCACCGTCCGGCTCCAGAGCGCTAAGTGTGTGCTTTATGATACAGCAGGGCACAAAACCTTCTGTCTCCCAGCGACCGCTGGGACCTTGCTGCAGCCATGGCTGAGCTTCAGAGAGAGATGCATCGCTGTGTGTGTGTGTCCTTTAAAAAACGGTTTTCCCCACCAGAGTCGTGGTTATATACCCCATTTCATAGTTCCAGCAGTTCTGACATCTGTGAGATCTCACCATCCAAAGATTCATAAGCGTGGATAGAAATAACTGTGAAACTCGCGTGTGAGCAGTGTTCGCATGTTTACACGTAGTACTCCCTGTCCTTGTTTTTCTGTTTCTTGTGGCCGCTCTTCGAGCTCTGCTGCTTCTCCTTCATGAGCGTGCCGTTGCTCTGGGCGGAGTTGCTGATGTAGTTCCGCGTCTCGTCCACTTGATAGGACCCCTCGTCCCTGTTCCTGTACTTGTACATGGCGTACAGGAGGATCAAGATGCAGAGGGCGGCAGCAGCCACAATGCCGACGACCATCCCTGTTGTGCTGCTCGACTCCCGGATCACCTCTGAGGCCCCCGGGACCCGTCTGATTCCCGGCTCCGTGGGGTTTGCTGTGGGCACATTACGGAACATGGGGGAAGTAATTAGTGGGCTCTTCAGTTTGGTGCTGTCTAGCTCATAGGCAGTGGGCAACGGAAGCAAGACTATATCAGGCTGGGGTTTGAGATCACGGTTATTCATTTTGCCAGCTGGCAATTTGGGCACCATCCCAGACGAGGAGGAAGCTGTGAAGCGGATCAGCTCAGGGGATAAAGATGTGGTAGTAGTCCTACTAGTTTCGGAGACTTTGTTAGGTCTAAAGTCCTTGGATTCCCACTTGGGCGCATGTGCTTTGTAGCCACCTTCGAAGATTGAAGTGGAAAGACTCTTATCTGTTACCAAGGAGAAGGTGGTGTAAAAATCTTCATCATCAGTAGGGGGCAGGTTAGAGTCAAAGGTTTCCCCTGAGCCATACCCAGATATCACCAAGCCATCATCATCACAACCATCGCTGCCTTGGTCCGACAAGCAAGGTAACCCCGCCTCAGAGGTCATGGACAGGGAATCTTTGGTGGTCTCAATAATGGTGAGGAGGGGGCGAAAGGTAGGGGGGAGTGTAATGGAAGGTGCACGAGTAGCAATAGGAGGGGTAGCTAAAGGGTCTTCTACAAGAAGAGGGATAACTAATTCACCTCCTGGGATGGAAAAGAAAAAGAAAAACAGAATTAGCATATTTGTAAACACAACTGTAGTTACTCTCAACCAGTGTAGTTCACAGATTATGCCTCAGCAATTATAATAAAATGATCTGGATCTTTTCTGAATGGAGTCTAATCATTCTAGGCAGATTTGGAGCCTTCTATATGCCTCTTGCCACCCAAACCTGAAATCCCTAGATCAGGGGCTTAGGTTTTTAAAGATACTCTCAAGTAATTATTTAGATAGAATTCAACTATATATGTTCTTTCCAGGATCTGCTTAATGGCTGATGACATTCAGTGACATTGTTAGAAATATTGGCTGGCTATCAAAATTGGCATGTGTGGGTACCTGTACACATTGTGTGCTTAAGTTATGAATTTATTAACATGTATTTAAGATTTCTTTATTGCCTTCTTGGGATTCTACTTATTTGTTCCCAGGAGGATGAGAATGACCTATTCACCATCTTACTGAGACCAAGATCAAGAAACATAAAAGATTGTGTCCTTTGTGTTTTCTTAAGTTACTTACTTTTATTTCACACTTATTAATTGCAGTCCTTATTTACTATAAGCTGAGTGATAGAGATTTATAATAATTCAAAAATGTTCATCTAACAAATCCATTTTGACTATTCTTTTCCAGAAATTCCCCTGATTATTAAATGACAACTTGCCTTGCATTAGTCTAATATTTGTATGCATTACTTTCATGTTATATGCAATATATTGTGAGCTGGAAGCTAGGTTTTCAAAATACCCAGCCTAGATATACATGACTTGAAACTTTTAGACTCAGAAATGTTGACTTAGGAAAGTGAGTTTTTTTAAATTGGTGATTCCTAACTAGTGGGGCAAAAATATATCGGTTTACCCATAAACCCTCGTTATTGCACTTAGAATCATGTAGACTAAGTTGGGAAAGAAAGCTCAGAATAGTTCATTAAATCACAGGGCCTTGCAGATCATGGATGCCACAAATATTCTGCAGCAGTGGTTGTTTACCTGGCTGTAAGGCCAAGATGGCTATGCATCTATGGCAGCAAGACAACTGATCTCTCTTCAGTGTCTTTATAATGTTATTTTACAAGCAGAGGAAGAATCTTAAGAAGTCACAGTTTGTGTCTCTTAATTGAATTTATTCCAGAAGAATGTATTCCCACTATCACTTAAAAAAATCCACTCGCAGGAATGGTACGAACGTTTCCCTGCCCCAGTTAGTTAGAAGGTTGAGATACTAATGTGACGTTATTGTTGAAGGCCTCTTTCTGAGTGGACCCACTGAGCTGTCAACTGGTACTGCGTATTATGTCTCTTACACTTGGTAATAACTTTGCTGTGATGGTATAGTCAGTGTTTGAATAGCTTTTAACAGATAGGACTGTAGCTGAGTTACCCACCTCATCAATAACAAAGCCAGACAAGGAGGTGATTCAGTACCAGAGTTCTAGGGGCACTCCAAGTGAATAAGCCTTGGAGTTTATACAGTCTTCCAGGGTTTTTCCTATGAAGATTGATTCATGAATTAAAACTCTCCCTTTGAATGCACGGGAAATGTTTCAAGATGCAAGCTTTCCACACCTTGCATCTTGAAACGTTTCCCATGCATCCAAATTGTCCAGGTTTCAGGTGTGCTAAGAGAAGGGCTTCCTGAGGAGAAAGCTAATGCCTACCTTCAAGCACTGAGAAACTGCTGGTGCCCATGTCAGAAGCCTTTATTCTCTCCCTGTTTAGCTAATAACAATTGTGTTCTGCAGAAAGAAACTGAGTTTGGGAGGGAGCTGATAAAGTATATAATGTATATCATTTAGAAGGGAAGGGACAACAGAATGTTGTAGTGTCATCTCTAGCCTATGTGATAATTTTACTATGAAATTAATACCTTTTTGAGATCCTCAAGATGATCTTATAGAATGTGCTCTAAACCTGAGCCTCTATTCTGGCGCTTAGAGTTTGAAACTATTGAGCAAAATGATCTTTGCAGATTTGCCAAAGATTCACACTTGCTGTACTAGACCAGCAGACACCTATTTTTTTTTTTAACATTGTGAACATATATAATTCATATGCCTTGCAACTTATTTAATGCATAATTTACACACTTTTGCTAGTTTTTATAAATGGGATTTGGAGTGCAGTTCCCTAAAGGTAAGCCAGTCCTAAAACTAACTCTGAGCAAACTTTTTTATTATTCTTCTGCTAGGGGGCCCCAAGTGGTAGATTTAAGGTGATAATATGAAAGAGGGCAATGTTTGAGTAATAGGAGAGCAGTGATAAGAGAGAGGAAGTGAAGGCCCGTGGAATCTGTCTAAAGCTTCCTTATGAATTTCTCAGGCACAATTTTACTTACCTTCAGAGGACAAGACAGGATTTTTTTTTAACTTATCTATAACAAAGGTTTAACATGTGTGTTCTTTTCTGGCACAAACACGTAGTCATTTGTTCCTTATGGCAATGACAAATCTACCCCATGTAGAGTAAGCAAAGAGGAAACTAGGTTAAAGGACAAGGAATAACTGATATCTTAGGAAGCAAAGGCCCGGTACAAACAGTTTAAATATAAAGGCAAACTGTTGGGTAAGAGGCTAGTGTCCCTTTAAGTGGGATTAAGATCACCGTCTTCATGATTACAGAGTGGCATTCATTTGCAATTTTAGTGTACCATCTGTGACACCCAACTGGAATCTTAAATTTGCCTTTTTGTTTTTCTGTTTTTTTTTTTTTTTCTTAATACTAGCTAAAGCTTCCAGTGTACTTGTTTCAAAATCTACAAACTGTTCACTCTGCAGTTGAATTACTTAACTTTCCTTTGCTATCTCCCTCTCATTTAACACACTAATGCAAGTATCTTAGATTTAAAAAAACTAACTTTCCTTTGCTATCTCCCTCTCATTTAACATTTAATGCAAGTATCTTAGATTAAAAAAAAAAAAAAAAGAGTAACCACATTTTTTATTTTAACTGTATAGTAAGAGGGTTCTGAAGCTTGTTAATTTATAAAGAGCTTCTAAAAGCCTGGTGAGTCCCAAAGTGAAATGATAAGAGCTTTAGAACCAAAATGATGGGTATGCTATTTCAGAGTTTAGAAAACAAAATCTTTCAGAACTACTGATCTCTAGTTTTCTTTGCCATTTTGTTACTAATCTCGGTAGCAGCAATAAAAATGATAAATGATACCCTCTGTTGGGAAAACCTGAGCCGAAATCATGCTGATTTTTAGACAAGGAAGTGGTAGAAGCTTTCTTAACCCCTCTTTCCTGGCTTCTCAAGAAGTGGGAAGATTGCCTTTAGTTTAAAATGAAGTCCACTGGGATACAGAGGAGTCCTTTTGACAAATAGGAATTCTAATGAAAATAGGTAGAAAATTTTAGACAACTGTAAACATGAAAGATGCCTGGGACAAGTGTCTGTTGGTGTAATTAATTTTAAAACTAAATTCCATGTTTAAGATTGCAGACAATAATAGGGTCCTGGGGAGATCAAAGGCACACCTCATTTGAGAGGAGAAAGTGATGTATTTCTCCTACTATTAGATCCTTAATAGAAATAACTTAGTTTGGCTGGATGCAGTGGCTCACGCCTGTAACCCCAGCACTTTGGGAGTCCGAAGCAGGCGGATCACGAGGTCAGGAGATCGAGACCATCCTGGCTAACACAGTGAAACCCCGTCTCTACTAAAAATACAAAAAAATTAGCCGGGCGAGGTGGCGGGCACCTGTAGTCCCATCTACTCGGGAGGCTGAGGCAGGAGAATGGCGTGAATCCGGGAGGCGGAGCTTGCAGTGAGCCGAGATTGCGCCACTGCACCCCAGCCTGGGCGACAGAGCGAGACTCAACCTCAAAAAAAAAAAAAAAAAAAAAAAGTTTGGTGGGAAGCTATTCAAGCCTTCTTGTCTATTTTAATCAAAAGTGACTACCCTGAGAAATGTTCAAGTGGCTGATACTATTTTCTTTACTTCCCAGAGACCATGAAGTCAGTGATCAACTAGGTGTCTATGTCTAAAAAAGTATTCATGGAAGTAAAAAACCCAAAGTCATAAAAGGTTATGGGCAGAGAAATACAAAACCTGTAATCCATCAAAATCCTAATTTCCTATGCCATCGCCAGAATTTTTCTTTAGTTTGGGATAAAAACTATCTGTATTCCTTAGAGTTAGCATTTTAAAATCAGGCATACATACCCCTTTTTAGCAGGATTGTGCTTTACTTTAAACTAGAGAGATCATTAGAGATATAAAAGGTCTATTTGAGCCCTGAAGGCATCTCAGCTTTTTTGCTTTTTGAGTGTATTTGTAGATATATAATTCATGCCTCTAGGGCTGATGTCCAGCAAAAGGGGCTCCCTTCCATCAAAAAAGACAATGTGTAAAAAATTTAATAGAACTCTTTTGAACTGTGAGAATGTTGTGGGTGATAGTGAATGTAGTGGGTTATCTTTGAAAAAAAAAAATAAAAAGAACAAAAAGCAACAACAACAAAAAACAAGCATGAAGTTTCAACCCTTGCCTCTCTGGAGATATGTGGGTTTTGAGAGTTCACGAAAATACCTGAACAGTGAGACTCTGGGACAGGACACCATGCTCGAATTCCTTGAATTCTTGTTATATATATTTTGGTATTTCACCTCATCTCTTATTTGCATTATCCTAATTTTCTGCTTGAAAATTCACATAATGGGAGAAACCATTCTTTCCCCCCAAAAAATTAATTTTTCAAAGATATTTAGCTCTTTGGTGACATGGAAATGTGTACTTGTAACACATAAATATCATAAAGCTTGTAACCATGAAATTGCCCTCCATCAACCTTCAGAAAAAATAGTCATGGACAAACAGGGCAAGTACCTGGGGAGAAGACAGTAGAAAAACAGGTGTCTCAAAGGGGCTTAACTTATATTTCAACAGGATGAGAATTTCTAGATAGGGCGTTCTCCCTGCCTTCCCCACCACCCTTCCACCCCAGCAAAGGGTTTTTCTGAAATAGGTTTGATTTTGAAAGGCTACAGATTATATTATTCAACAATAAGATGGGCCACAGCCCTTTGATATCATTATATATTATAAAACATGAAATGTCAAGTGGAGTGTTTCATTTGCTTATTGATTAACAGCTTTGCCTCTGAAGTAACTCTGACTCTCAGCATTAGAACTCTGTAGGAGTTCCCACTGGCGCTAGGAATTTGGTCAAATTTCTTAAACTCTATGGAAAATGAGAATAATAAAATACTCTACCTCAAACCATCAATGCAAATATTAAAATAATGCATATCAAGTACTTTTTAAATATGTTACGTGGTTAGCACAGTACCTACTGCTATTCAGGAATGCTAGGTACTAATGTTGTTATTTCTACTAATGTATTTGAGCTGTACATACTCAAATAATCACCTTCTTCAAACCCTTTTTATTTAGTGGCTTCATGCTAAAGTAGAAGTAGAATTATATAGGATCTAGATTATTGAGGCTATTTTAAATAGAATATAAGGAATAATTCAAAGAGCTGGTATTTTTTTTTAAATAACCTTTTATTAAATTTACCTTTGGATATCTTTTTCATAGAAAGAAAGTATTCTAACAAGCAACAAGATAAAACAACATCCCATGTAGGAAGTTCTAAGTTTTAAACCTAAAATATTATCAGCATGTCAAACAACACAAAATCACATAAACTGAGGTAGAGAGAGCCCAAGCATTAAGCTGCTGGCTTGGAAACATCTCTTATCTACCATTCAGTTTGATATTTCTATAACAGTTTCAAATAACACAAATATCTATAAAGCAAAACAAGTAACTTCTTGACTAAAAAATTATATAGTGCTTCTTACCAATCTTATGTATGTTGAAGCGCATAAGGCAGCATTGGTCCAAATAATCTTAAGGTGAAGGAATATTCTTAGCCTGTAGTTACACGATGATAGTACCTACCTGAAATATTTTCTATGTACAACTTTAGGTATGAAAATCATCATGTTTTCTTCTTGGTAGAATCTTAAGATCCCTGAAAGCTTACCTGATTAAATCCTTGAGAGAAATGAAACAGGGAAAAGGAGAAAAGACAAAGGAAAGAGGGAGAGAGAGAATGTGTGTGCACCTTCTGTGTGTGTGTCTGTGTTTTTATCAGTTGTTAGTTCCATACACTGGAAGGCGTCAGTATCACAGAACAATACTCGAAACACCCGGGATTCTTGATGTCTTCATTTTCAGTATAATTGATTTTGTAGCCTGAAGCAAAGGTGAGAGTATAATACTGGATAGCCAAACTCTACCATAGTCACTTGAGAGTACCTTATTTTCCCCTTTGCTGAAGGAAAATAACTAATTTCCTAAATGCTTTTTAAGGACTTTTAAAAGAATGCAATTACCACTGTTACTACTTGGAGCTAAGTCAACTCATTTTCTTCTGGGGTACAGGCCTCCCACGGGCTGTAAACAATTTTAAGATGCCAAATAGAGCCTACCACTACTTTCAAGACTTTAAAATGGTGGTGAAAAAGTTCAGGCAAAGAGGCCAGGCTTTCTTTGGGAGGTAAGGATAATGTTTTAACCCCCTTCTACTGACAGTAGAATTCACATTGATTATTAGAAGCAATTCAGCACAAAACATAACAGTGAAAATTCAGCAAATAGACACAAATGAAATAAAAATATAATATAGTCTTCAAAATTATACAGTAGAAAATAAAATCAACTTCATAGCCAAAGTAAGCTGGGAGAAGGAGAGCAAATAACGTTGAGGCATTCACAATATAATAAGAACAGAAAGAAAAGTAAAAGCAAATTAAAAAATAGAGGCTGTTCTGGGAAAAAAAAAAAAAAGAAATCATTTCCATATAGGCAAAATAATTGAAACTAAAAAAGCATACTGTATTAATTGATAGTCAACTTACATCAACAAATTGCCCGCATGTTTTTTGGCATGAAAGAAAAATTTACAAAAGAAAGTTGTGTAAGAATGCTCTTGGACAAATAGAATTGCCACATTCTTGTAACTTGCTTTTTTGTTGTCATTTCTTAAAAACTTTTGAGCAAAATGTCTAATTTTTCAAATATAATTTACAACAGAGGATGATACAGGGAGGCAACAACACATACATCCACACCACATAACATAAAAAGAAAAAAAAAATCTGCACTTGAACAAATTTTTACTTTGGGGGGTTTGGGAGGGCATCAATTTTTGAATTTAAAATAATTCCGATTGCTATGATTGAAAAACCAAACAAAAAACCTGTTTCCTTTTATAATTTGCCTTTCAAAAAAAATTCTATGAATCTAATGGGTTTTGAATGAATTTCTGCATTTATAGGTTTTCAGATATATACTTAATTTTTTTTGTCTTTTTGACAAATTTTAGGCTTTCTTTAGGGAGATGGATGACAGCACATAAATTTTAACAATGCTAAAGAAAGGGGGAGTATGGGAAGGAAAGATGCAGGAAGGGGAGGGTCATATCTATGAGTGAACTACACAGGAGATGAAGATGATAGGAGTAAATGTGTAAGTGAGTCGCCATGTCCATGTAAGGGCGGCACGGAGTGATCTAGCTGCATTAGAGCTTCTGGCTGTAAGGAAGGGATGGGCAATATACAAAAACAAATGAGCCTACACATGCCCATCTATGGAGATAAAGAACAGAACTCTAACACTGACAATCTCACACACCCTAAGCTGCAACTTCTTCAACATGCAATTACTCCAAAAATTATTACAGTTTCATTAAAGATTTTCAAATAATAAAAACAGTTAAACTTTTTTCCTACTAAAAATAGCCAAAATACATAAAATACTAGTAGTCATGATCAAAAAGTTTAAAGCAAAAACAAGAAGACTAGATTTATGCATTCAAGTTGAACAACTTCATCGGCAGCCACACAGCCACATCTAGATTTGGGGAGGTTTAGAAATCTACAGAGGTGATTGAGAGGCAATACTAAGCAGGGGGCCCATGCACTGGGTTGCTAATTACATCTCTATAGAGAAATGGTATTTTCCAGATAACATCATCTGTCTTCCTTACGCCACCCATGTTGCACACAATTGGCAAGAAGACCAGGCTAATTTGAAACATGTGGATGTGAGGATTCTGCAGCTGAAGTTGTTCCACATTTAAAGAGGGAGTGGGGAAAAATTGCAGAAAACAATTCATAACTTTTTTCTCATAATTTTAGATAAAATCAAATCTAAGATAAAGATCTAGCAATTAAAAGAAACACATTGATATATATATATATATAGATATATATAATATAAAAAGCACTTAATTCCCAAACAAGAAGGGAGAAAAAAACCAAAAAGTTTAAAGAAAAAAAATATTTCACACACTTTCAGAGATGAACAACCAGACGCACAGGCTTGAAAGGCACAGACAGAGCAGTCAGGGGACACGTTTTTTTGCTTTGCTTTTTTGGCTTGTTAATTCCCCTTTTTGTGAGAGCCAAAATTAAAAATAGATTGTGCATTTTCTTTAAAACCTAATTTTACATTTTCTTTATTTTTGGCTTTGCTTTGAAAAAATAAAAAGGGCGTGCAGTCTGGATGTACGTCGTAAGTAGACATTTAAAAGAGAAGAAAGTAGCTAGACTGACAAATGGGTTATCATTTATTATCCTTCAATTGTAGGAATGTTAATCCAGTTAACACATGCTTAAAGTAAGTTGCATTTAGGGGAAAATAGAAAAACAGAACAGCAAGCTAGGATTAGGGGGTCAGCAAGACAAAACCAATTTAGGGGTAGGAGGAAAGTACTGGGTTTTGTTTCATGCCTTTCCAGTAGGGGTGAAGGACATCTGAAGGCTTCCTGCCAATTAGAAGGAAAGCATGTGAGAGGTGTGTGTGTGTGGGGTCGGGGGCAGAGGAGTTGAACTAGAACCTGTATTGACAGGAATTGGAATCAAAATACATATGGGTTCATGAGTTCTGCTTCAGGAAATTTATCCCAAATTTATTCATAGCCTTTAGAAGGCATATTTTATAAGGCATAGAGAGGTTAAAATTAACATTGCTCTGTGGGAGGGTTCCTGGGCTTAGTCAAAGTGACAGGGCACAATGATGACAGTAGAATGTTAATAAAATGAGCCTGATAAATGGAGGAATAGCCAATTTTTTTTTTTTTTTTTGTAAGAGTGGCAAAACCCCTCTTCACTCCAAAGAATACAATATCAGTGTCTGTAAACTACAGGACAATCATGGATAAAGTTTACTGGAAGTGCTTTGAGGAAAACTATGCCAATAAGGTTTATTTGAAGTACATTGAGGGAAAACTATGCCTCTCACATGCATGCACACAGAGAGGTAGATACTGTAGAAGGAATAGAGGGAAGGAATTTTTAGAAATGGCCTCAGCCTCCACTGGAAGAGATCACTAGAGTTATATTCAGTATTATATCTCATTAAGAACATTAATGTTCAACCAAGGACTGGGAAACCCAGGTAGGCGAACCACAAAGGCAAGACACTTGAGAACACCTGGTTCTGACAGCCAATTCCAACCACGCCTAAGAACTCTTTCAGGTGACTTTGACAAATAGAGTAAATTTTGAGGATGAGTTCGACTTTTGCCCACTATGGGACGCCCCTTTTATTATTTTACTTTAAAGAAATTATAGCAATGTGTCCCCATGGGTCAGTCCGTACCAAGATTTTTAGTCTCTGGTTTAATAATGTTAATCATTATTCTGGGAACTTCACAAAGAGCAGCTGGAAAGTTATAGATGGAGGAAAAAAAATTTAATAATATAGAAAAAGAAAAACCCTTGTTGCCATTTAGTTGATTTTTTTTTTGGACTAATTATACTTTTAACATTGAATTAAGATTGTATAAATGCATATATGGTCGGTCTCAAAAGGCATCAAATGACATCTGTAGAACAAAGTTCTACAATTTTTAAAAGTAGGAAACATAAGCAGTCTAAGTGTGAGACTTAAAGAATAAGATACTTGCAGTACACGCATTCTCTTAGATAATAAGAGGCATTTTGAAAAAGATACATCAGCAATTTGGGTTCTCTAAGCCTTCTACTGAGTAATTTACCTATTCCAAAATTGCCTGTTTTGAAACTCTTACAAGTAGGACACCACTTACATTCTAGAAATCACTGGTCTGAACAATCGAATATATGAAAATTTAGGGTTGTCACCTTGTAAATAATATGTGTATTTTTTAAACCCATGGAAGCTGTAGTTTCAAATGAAGCCAACAAAGCCTGAATATAATGCATGTATATCTTTACTGTATAAGTCAACCATTAGTTCACATACATAAACCTTGTTTGGTCTCTAAGATACAAAATGACATTGCTTGCTAATAGTAGTTCATAATCAGGTCACAACTTCATTTTCATCTTTCATTAACTAGCTACACTAGGTTTGTATTAATAACTGCCTGATTTTGTGGCTATGCCTTTACTGTGGGTATTAAGAACGTGTTTGGGTTATGTTTGTCACTGAGAACAAATAATACAATAATTTGATTTGAAACAGTATATTTTGATACAACCATTTTTATCTCACCATGTCCTAATAGCCCTGTCAAAATGTAAAATCAAAAATTTTAAAATGCCAAATGCCATATTACAGTTGTTAGAATTCATCTTGGGAAATTGTTTCAAAGAAATGTTTCTGAACTGCTTGGGGTCGAGCTCAAGAATCCCAAAGACATACTCAAGTTACTCCAGTTGCAAGCCCTCCTCTCCGGAAGCATGGGTCCTCCTTGCTAGAAGGCATTGTCTTCAGTGTATAGAGGTGAGGCCCAAGAGGAAGGCCCCAGTGAATTACTTTGCATAACATTATATATTTTAAACTTCTCAGGGAGAATACTAGAGAGATGAAGGCAGAGGGAACCATCTCAACAGTCTTAGTGCAACACTGTGTAAAGATTTAAAAAATTACAAACCAGGAGGGCTGAGAAAAAAGTTGGAATAACAAATAACTAATGAAGATTTTGAAGACTTTTGGCATTGGATGCATGAGTTAAGCCTCCGCATCTGTTTCTCCTATGAAATATACAAAAACATTTTCATAGATTGTGACTTTTGTGTCTATGGGGTGAATGGAGGAATTCTTCTGGGAGGATGGATGGCTCATTTCTGAATCACAGTTTGACTTAGAATGAAAGTAGAGAACCCTGTACCTAAACATGGAATTCTGGCTGTGAGGACTGCTGTTGTCAGCATTACAAAACGAGCCCTGCATATACATTTATTCCTCATAACTTCCTCTGTAGACATGGAGGGTGCTCAGAAAAGGGGTGAAGGAACCCGTTTCATAACATGGTACAGTAATGCTGCAATGAACATGGAGTGTAGATATCTCTACATGATGGTAATTTCCTTTCCCTTGGGTATATACTCAGAAAAGGTATTGCTGGGTTATATGGCAATTCCATTTTTAATTTAGGAACTTCCATACTGTTTTCTGTAATGGCTGGACCAATCCAAATTCCCACCCACAGCATACAGGGTTCCCTTTTCTCCACACCCTCATCAACACATGTTGTCTCTTGTCTTTTTGATAATACCTACCCTAATAGGTATGAGGTGATATCTCATGGTGGTTTTAATTAGCATGTCTCTGGTGATTAGTTAGGCTAAGTATCTTTTCACATATATGTTGGCAATTTTTGTCTCCTTTTAGAGGAATGTCTATTCAGGTTCCTTTGTCTATTTTTAAAATCGGGTTATATGTTTTCTTGTGATTGAGCTGTGTGAGTTCTTTATAAATTTTGGAAGATAGCCCCTTACTAGATATATGGTTTGAAAATATGTTTTCCTCAACCTGTAGGTTACCTTTTCATTTTATTGATTGTTTTCTTTGTTGTGAAGAAGTGTTTTGGTTAGATGTATAATTCTTAAAGATTACTTTGGCTTCAGTATGAAGAATGGACTTTAGGGAAGCAGAAGTAGAATGAGGGAGATCAATTGGGCAGCTATTGCAGAGTTCAAGCAAGAAATGATGGTGACTTACACTACAGCATGAGTAGCTGGAGGAAAAGAAACGTGTGAGCAATTTGTTATTGAGGTAGAGTCAACAGGACTTCTTGACTGAACAGGGGCCCAAGAATGATGACAAATGTGGAGTTTGTACACCTGAATCAAATTTAAGAGATGAGAAACTCTGGAGGACATGCAAGTCTGGGGAATCCAAAGTTCTGTTTTAGCTCTTCTGAATCCAAAGTGTCTCTTAAATATCAAAGTGGAAATGTTGAATAACCAGATGGATTTGAGAAACTGGAATTCTGAAGGGAGGCTTAAACTGAAAATTATCATCATATAGAAGCCATTTAAAGTCAAGAGGTTGAATCAGATCACCCAGAAGATTAAAACACCTGGGCCACACCTGGGGACACCTAAGAGATGGTGAGGTGAGGGGCCAGGGCTGGAGAAATACTCAGGAGACTCTTGGGCTATTCATACTATAGAATGAAAATGTTTCATACAAAACCTTCATTTCTGACTGGTACACAGGTGATTTTTTTATGTCAAAAAATATATTATCTATAATAGTATTAAAAGGGTCTAATGCAGAGGTGTTCAATCTTTTGGCTTCCCTGGGCCACAGTGGAAGAAGAATTGTCTTGGGCCACACATAAAAAAACACCAACACTAAAAATAGCTTATGATCTCCCCCCAAAATTGCAAAAACTCAATGTTTTAAGAAAGTTTACAAATTTGTGTTGGGCTACACTCAAAGTTGTCCTGGGCTGCATGCACCCTGTGGGCTGTGGGTTGGACAAGCTTGGCCTAATGGTTTGCAAGTAACAAGCTATCTGCATATATAAATCCTGCATTCCACACAGTGGCAAGACTAAGAACAGGAGAGCAGTTGCTAAGCTCAAGCTTTGAGTGCTATTTGTACTGTCCTTTCTCTTTGTTTTACTTTATGAGGATATTTTCTCTTGATTAAACAAACTAGTGCCAGTAAAAAATAGTTTTTAGAATTCCCCACTACACACATATACTTTATAAAAATGAGCTTCAAGTATTGCAAGATGTGCTATTTTTTTTTGTATTTTAATTCAGCAAAGGCACACTGAAGACTTATGTTGTGCCCTACTCTATGCTAGACAGATTAAAAAACACCGCATAAGCATAAAGGTTTAGCCTGTGCATCAAGGAGCTTATAATGTTCTTGATGAAGAAAAGCTTAGTTACACTAAGACATAATTATTAAATTAGCATGAAATCAAAATGAAAAAAAAAAATTGCTGGCAATTTCTTGGGTGGGTTTTCCCTTTTGTGTATCTTAACCAGTATCAACACTTTTGGGAGAAAGCAGCTAAGATACTACCTTGACCCTCTGTTCCCTTATGCCCTCATCTTACTACACAATTCTAAGGTCTGTCAGGTTGTTTCCAAGAGATTTAAAGAGAATTCTCTTTGGCCTCAGCCCCTTTGGTCCTTCAGGACCATCAAGGACTGCTGAGCTCAGAAAATATAGCTAATAACATGTTGGTGCATTTGAAATGAATATTTTATAGTTTCTAAGGTAATTTTACATGTAATGTTCACAAATTCATGCATTAGGACAAAAGTCTTTGATCTTTTTGAATGAGAAAAGTGAGGCCCCAGGGGTTGGCATGGGGGACAAGTGACTTGTCTCAAATCTCATAGTCTGATAGAGGGCAGGAGCTCAACTCCAGATCTGTTCTCTTGCCAAAAAAGGAATGCAATCTTATGGAAAGGCATCAAAATAAGACCTCTTCAGAGCTTAACTCTAACTCACAAGAATGAAATAAAATAACTGTAAAATTACATGCAGAAATAACCCAAATTTATAGCTAAAAGATGTATTCAAGCTTTAAGAATTTATCATTATTGGAGAAGGTGGAGACAGAGATTGGAAAGAAGTAGTAATAATGGCTATTTGGGTTAGGGTTTTGGGTTGAGGTGATTCTTGTTTGTTGGATGCTGAATCAGATACTCCAAGGATCACACTTGGAGTAGCACAGGCCTCAATTATCTGAGACTCGGCCTCCTCTGTTGAATATGAAACCTTCATTTGGTAGCTAACAGTCTTTGAACACAATAGTAACAAATATTAGAGAAGCACTTTAGAATTTTTAAGCACTTTCCCATTCAAAATCTTATTAGTTGTGCAAATCTACACTGTGAGGTTAAGTGACTAGACATTGTAGTCACTACAACTTTAAAGCTATAGGCTAGTGTGGGGGGTAAAATATAAGCAACTAATTATACTAATTCATTTGATTATCCGTTACTTCATTCAATAAACATTTGAATGACTATTAGTGTTCTAGTTGGTAGGAAAAATAAAAGTAAGCAAGACGGCACTATCCTTTTCCTAAAGTTGTTTCAGGTCTAGCTGAGACTGAAAAACAAATTAAGTGCAAAGGAATATTGAGTCAATAAAAATCTGTGTAGGGTACAGTAGGGTCACAAAGAATAGAGATTTGGGGATAGAATTTGGTACACATTAAAGCTTACGTGAATGTAGGGAGCAAAGATTAATTTAAAGTCCTTCCAGATCCAAATAGTCTAGTATCTTACCAATTTTTCAAATGTAATACTGTCTTTTGTAATGTTTTATCCATTCTCTCACCTTCTTAAGTTTGAAAGTTTGCTGTAGATTGGGCAAGCAGATTATTAGTGCAGAAATACTATTCTAAGTGTTGGGTTTGAGGCTGTCCTGGGTTCTCCTCTCCATCTCGAAAGTTTGGCTTTTCTCTCCTTTTTAGTTACTGTAATTAGGTGTGGAAACTGAGTTTGGGAACAGATAATACATGAAGTTTTTACATGGGACATTTTTGTTCAGCATTAAAAACATTATTTTTATATTTAGAAACAAATACAGGTATATCTTGTTTTATTGTGCTTTGCTTTACTGTGCTTCACAGATATCTTTTAATAAATGGAAGGTTTCTGGCAACCCTGCATCCAGGAACTCTATTGGCACCATTTTTCTACCAGCCGGTGTTCACTTTGCAACTCTGTTACATTTTGGTAATTCTTACATTTCTACTTTTTTTCTTACTATATCTGTTATGGTGATCTGTGATCTTTGATGTTACTATTATAACTTTTGGGGGGCCATGAACCACACTCAAAAGATTGTGAACTTAATATTGTCTGTGTTCTTCTTCACCCACCTGCCCTTCCTCCCTCTCTCTCTCTCTGTCTCTCTCTCTCTGTCTCTCTCTCTCTCTGTCTCTGTGTCTGTCTCTGTTTCTCTCTTTCTATCTCTCTGTCTTTGTCTCTCTCTCTGTCTCTCTATCCTTGTCTGTCTCTACTCCCTATACTCCCTACCCCCATCTCCCTATTTCCTGAGACACAGCAATATAGAAACTAGACAAATTAATAACACTATAGTGACTTCTAAGTGTTCAAGTGAAAGAAAGAGTCACCCACCTCTCACTTTAAAGCTAGAAATGATTGAGCTTAGTGAGGAAGGCATGTTGAAAGCTGAAATAGGCCAAAAACTAGGCCTCTTGGGCCAAACAGTGGGCTGAGTTGTGAATGCAAAGGAAAAGTTCTTGAAAGAGATTTAAACTGTTGTTCCAGTAAATACCTGAATGATAAGAAAGTAAAATAGCCTTATTGCTGATATGGAAAATATTTTAGTCGTCTGGATAGAAGATCAAAGTAGCCACAACATTCCTGTAAACCAAACCCTAATTCAGAGAAAGGCCCTAACTCTCTTTCAATTTTGTGAAGGCTGAGGTAGATGAGTAAGCTACAGAAGAAAAGTTGGAAGCTAGCAGAGGTTGGTTCATGAGGTTTAAGAAAAAAAAAAAAAGCCACCTTTATAACAGAAAAGCACAAAGTGAAGCAGCAAGTTCTAATGTAGAAGCTGCAGCAAGTTATCTAGAAAATCTAGCTAAGATAACTGATGAAAGTGTCTATACTAAACAACGGGTTTTTAGTGTAAATAAAATGGTCTTATATTAGAAAAAGATGCCATCTAGGACTTTCACAGCTAGAGAAGAGGAGTCAGTGCTTGGCTTCAAAGCTTCAAAGAACAGGAAGATTCTCTAGTTAGGGGCTAATGTAGCTGGTGACTTAAAGTCAATACTTATTGGCCACTTCAAAAATCCTAGAGTTCTTAAGAATTAAATGTACTCGGCCTGTAGGCTTTAAGCAGACTAGCAAAGCCTAGATGACAGCTGTTTGCAGCATGGTTTACTAAATATTTTAATTCCATTGTTGAGACCTACTGCTCAGAATAAAAGATTCTTTTCAAAATAGTACTGTTCATTGACAGTGCACCTGGTCATCCAAGAGCTCTGATGGAGATACACAAGGAGATTAACATTGTTTTCAGGCCTGCTAACACAACATCAATTATGCTGTGCATGGATCAAAGAGCAATTTTGACTTGAAAGTCTTATTATTTAAGAAACACATTTTGTAAGGCAATAGCTGCCATAGATAGTGATTCTTCTAATGGATCTGGGAAAAATAAATTGAAAAAATTCTTAGAAGGATCCACCATTCTAGACACCATTAAGAATATTTGTGATTCATGAGAGAAGTCAAAATATCAACATTAGCAGGAGGTGGGTGGAAGTTTAATGCAAACCCTCAGGGAGAGTTTTGAGGGGTTTAAGACCAGTGGAGGATGTAACTGAAGATGTGGTGGAAATAGCAAGATAATTAGAAGTAGAGCCTGAAGATGTGACTGAATTGCTGTAATCTCACGATAAAACTTTAATAGTGGTGTATATATATCCACCATGGAATACTATTCAGCCATAAAATGGAACAAAACAATGTCTTTTGCAGCAACTTGGATGGAGTGTGAGGCCGTTAATACTAAGTGAAGTAACTCAGGAATGGAAAAGTAAATATTGTATGCTCTCTTTTATAGGTGGGAGGTAAGCTATGAGGACACAAAAGTACAAGAATGACATAATGGTCTTTGGGGACTTGAAGGTTGGGAGAGGGGCAAGAGATAAAACACTACATATTGGGTACAATGTACACTGCTCAGGTGATGGGTGCACTGAAATCTCAGAATCACCACTACAGAATTTATCCATGTAACCAAAAACCACCTATAACCCCAAAACTATTACAATTAACTTTTATTTATTTTTTTTTTTAAGAGGGAAATGTAAAATTTTCTTTATTCAAAGACAAAATAACTGTTTATGTAGAAAATCCTACAGAATCTACAAAGAAAACTGTTCTGTTAGGACTAGTAAGTGAATTTTTTTTTTTTTTTTTTTTTTTTTGCCTGCTTGAAATGCTGCTATTTTTTTTTTTTAAATTTATTTATTATTATTAAACTTCAAGTTGTAGGGTACATGTGCACAACAATTAACTTTTAAAGAAAACTTTAATGGTTAAGCAGTTGCTTATTATGGATGAGTAAAGTGGCTTCATAAGAAGTAATCTACTCCTGGTGAAGATGTTGTGAACTCTGTTGAAATGACAAAATAGTTAAATATTAATATCACCTAAACTTAATTGACAAAGATGAGGCAGAGTTTGAGAGGACTGACTCCAATTTTGAAAGAGGTTGTACTCTGATTAAAATGCTGTAAAACAGCATTGCATGCTACAAAGAAATATTTTGTGATAAGAAAGATCAGTCAATGCAGCAAACATCATTTTTGTTTTACGAAGTTACCACAGCCACCCCAACCCTCAGGAACCACATCCTGATCTGTCAGCAGCCATCAACATCAAGACAGGGCCCTCTACCAGCAAAAACATTCACTGAATACTGTTGATCATTAGCATTTTTGTTAGCAATAAAGTATTTTTAATCAAAGTATTTTTTTAAAGATATAGTGCTATTTCACATATAATAAGCCACAGTATGGTGTAAATATATTTTTATATGCACTGGGAAACCAAGAAATTCATGTGACTTGCTTTATTGTAATACTCACTTTGTTGAAATGGTTCGGAACCAAACCCGACCTATATTAACATTAGCCAAGATATGAAAGCAATCAAAGTATCTGTCAAGGGATGAACACATTATGAAATATTAAGTGGAATATGATTCAGCTTTAAATAAGGAGATCCTGCCATTTGCTACAATATACATAACCTGGAGGGTTTTATGCTAAGAGAAATAAGCCAGGCATAGAAAGAAAGATATTAGATGACCTCATTTACATGTGGAATCTAAAAAACAATGTGTAATACCCACAGAGATAGAGAATAAAACAGTGGTTACTAGAGGTGGGAGGAGGGAGATGAAATAAGATGTAGGTGAGAGGATACCAAGTAACAGGTATTTAGGATGAACAAGTCTAAAGATCGAATGTGCAGAGGACTGTAGTTAGTGTATTGTATTCCAGATTTTTGCTAAATCAGATTATGGTTGTTCTTGACACAAGGGGAAAATGTATAATTATGTGAGATGATGGATATGTTAATTTGTTTCTCTATGGTGACTATTTTATTATATATATATAAAATATAGTAAATATATATTTATATTTATTATATATATTTACTATATTTTATATATATATATACACCTCATAGAATCATGTTGTATTCCTTAAGTATACCAAACAAAATTTATTTCTTAAAGTATCCAATAAAAATCAGATCAAGGCACTTTCCTCTTAAAAATCCTCAAAAGTTTCCTCAAACCAAAATCCCTGACTCACTGGGAAAGTCCACTGTGACCTTCCAGCTGCCTACTCCAGTACTCCAGTCTCATCTGTGACACACCAGACCCAGGATATCTCGAGCTCTGGCCATACTCTCTGGCTTCCCTTGCAGGAACACCCCTTGTCTTGCTCAGTGCATGGCTAACTCTTTCTCATTTTAGGTCTCTGCTACAATTTTACTTCTCAGAGGCCCTTCACATCTTCCCTAGTAATGAACCAGCCTGCTCACTAACTGGACAACAACTCTTCATGATTCTCTGCATAGTATTTATTAGCTGACTTTTGCCCATGTATTTACATTTAGTCCTCTCCCACTTCACTGGAATATAAGCTCCAAGAAAGCAGAGACTTTGTCTCTTTGTCCGCAATCCACAGAACAGTGCCAGGCACACAGTAATAATTCAGGAGATCGCTACTGAAAGAAGAAAGGATGCCTGGAATAGCCATGAACACCTTGCAAAAGCAGGCCACTCTGTGGATTTTTTTTTTCTTTTTCTCGCAGTCCTCTATAGTTCCTAATATGGTGTTTTGCCCACCCAAGGGAGTGGATACATATTTTGCAAACTAATTATTGAAGCACTGCATTCACAATTCTGTTTTATTTTCATTTACTCTTCTCTAAACCAGATGGGATTTCCCTGAGTTCTAGTTAGCAGTTCCAACGTAAATTGGATCTTGTCATCCACAGCTGGCTTAAGAAACTCTCTGAAAAAATACATCACTATCTGACTTGTTCTCCCTTCCATAAACAGGTGTTGGAATATGCATTGAAAAACTCAGGCTTTCCTTTTGCAGTTGTGTAGGCTGAAGATAAAATAAACAGTAATTCAACCTAGAGCTGCCAGACATTGATTTTCTTCAGGCAGTAGGAAGGAACGGGCCAAGCAAATTATTAATGGGGGAATGGTGATCAGGGCAGTGAAAACGTGCTTGGTTATCTCTGCCTGCTGTGGCCCTGCAGCCACTGATGTAGAACACAGGAGCAGTGAGACTTTTCTCCCGAACTGATACCATGACACTTTATGATTGTGTTTATAGAATAATAAATTATTCAAAAAGGTTTATTTTGCTTCTGTTATCCCCAGAAGCTCATTTTCTCTGTCATGATGAACATAATTTTGACTGTTTTCTTTGTGCTGGGATCCCATTGGGTGGTAGCAGCTGGACATTCCAACCTGTTTTCTCCTCTCTATAGGGCCCGTAAGTTCTCTTACAATAAAACTCACTGTTTCTTGCAAACATCCTCTTTTACCCTAAAATCTACCTTCATTGCAAGGAATGTACAGGGTTCATAAAATCAATACCACCAAGGTGTTTTCATACTTAATGGAAATCAGTTTTACATAAAAAGATGAAAAGCTTGCCCAAGACTCCGGCACTTGACATCAAGATTATGTGCCCTAACTATACAGGGCTTTGACTGTGTCTAACCTGAGCCTTAGGCAGCTGACTTACAAGAGAGGAGCCCTGCAGATGTACTTGGGTGGATGAGACACACATCGTAAGCTTATTTAATTTTTGTAAACTAAACTGTAGATTAGGCAGGAAGCTTTGAGAAATTGTCTAGTCATTCCAAAAGCTCAATGAATATGGGTCTCTAAATTAGTTAAGATATATGCTTAGAAACAAATGAGTATGATCAAGTGGTTGACATAGTGTTTTCCTAGCAAATATGAGGAAAGAGAAAGGAAACAAAGTATAATTACATAATTAAAACACTAATTAACTAGAAGCCTACCTCCAGAAGGAGATGTTTTTAAGAGTATTAAAAACTTATTCTCTGCCAGACATTATGTTAAATGCTTTAGATGGTTTATTTTACTCAATAATTATAATTACACCTTACATAGCAGTAAATCTGGGCTGAAATAAGCTAAGTAATTTGCCCAAAGTTATACAACTTAAAAAATTAAATAGCCATGATTGTATCTAGTCCTGTATGTTTTATGTTAAAATATAGTGCTACCCTTCACCAGTTTTTTAAAATATTCAGTTCTTATTGAGTGTGGGAACTTACAAACAAGCTAATCTTTAGGCACAAAAACAACTTACACAGGAGATCCTAAGATCTCTACATGTTTATTTCATACTTTTAAGCCTTAGGAGTCATAATTGCATAATGAGAATTGATATTCAGAGGGACTCTGAAGATTTACTTTTTTGTACAATCCCAGGTTATCTAAGCCAGACATACTAAATGTCTCTGCTAGGGGCAGTGGAAAAAGGATAGCAGGAAGTGCCTGGTTATCTACATGTTTTAAAAGTTTCCTAAGGGACTCATGCAAAATTAGATTTAGAAACACTACTCTAAATAACTTCATTATGTTTGCTCTTTTTTACCTCAGAGTTATAGAGTGGTCCTTAGTCATGAAAGTAAAAATAAAATTGAATTTCTAGACCTGGCTGGACTAAAGTTCCAGCTGTGATCCAACTTCTGTGACCTGAAATAAGTCATAATCTCTCTTATTTATAAAATGGAGATAAAATTCCTTGGGTATTGAGTCAATTGAAAGAGATGCTAGATATACAAGCATTGGTTTAAATACATACGTACGTACATACATACATACATGCTTCCAGAAATGTTATAAGGGTAATTATCATCTTACTGATACATCAGAAGTTTTCTATCAGTTTCTAATATGTAGATTTTAGGATCACACAACGTTTTTGGATATTCTGCCCACTCAAGTGGTAACATTTTGAAAGCTTCAGCTGGTCTGAATGATTTGATTCCCTTGCTGAGTTATTAAATTTTAGTGCTTTCTGCAACTACTAGAAGAAAACATTGGAGAAATGCTATAAGATATTGGTATGGGCAAAGATATTTTTGGGGGTAAGACCTTAAAAGCATAAGCAACAAAAACAAAAATAGACACATGATTACATCAAGTTAAAAACCTTCTGCACACTAAAGGTAACAATCAACAAAGTGAAGAGGCAACCAAAAAGTGGGAGAAAATATTTGCTACTATTCATCCAACAAGGGATTAATAACCAGAATACATAAGGAACTGAAACGACTCAACAGCAAAACTAATAATCTGATTTTAAAACTGAACAAATGATCTCTGAATATCTGTCCTGTGTCATTTTCTTTCATACCGCATCCTAATTCATCATTGACTCTATATACACCTTTTAAAAAGCCCCATAAACCAATTGTTCAAGAGCATCCCATTTCTCTTTTCATTTCCTGTTATGTTATTCCATAATGTAACCCTGTTCAAGTTTAGGGGAAGCTGTTGTTTTAGACTAGACTCCTGCCCTCGGCCTCAGCAAACCAGACCAAACCAGAATGGGTCAGGTTTTTTGTGTGTGGTGATTTTGTTGTCTTTTTAAACAGGAGACTCACAGCAACCAAGCAAAAGGGGCCCTTTAGCTGATCCAGCATAAGAAAGTCCCCTCTGCTTAAACCCTAGAAAGAAGGTAGTGTTGAAACAGCTGGTCTGCTTTTCATTCTGTTTCTGCTTTCTTCAGTCCTTTTCTGTCCGTAAAGTCAGACAACACCTTGCCCAGCTCATCGAAACATACTATTTTATAGAACAAGGTATTACCCAATTCTACCACTGCAAGTAAAACCAGTATATCTTTCAGGTAATTTGTTGTAATTTTGTCTTTTGACCACCCCAAACTGGTAGGTTTCATTAATGGCTCAAAGGTGTTAAGAAAAATGGCTTCTTTTGTACACAGTGAGACTGTATGGCTAGCACAGTCTCAGGCAGGCCAGAAGGCACAAGAATGAGCTTCCTACTGTGCCCCTTCAGAAACACAAATCCCCTCATGTTTCAGTGTCATGGTGTTCGAGGATGGACAAGACACTAGCATGGCAGCAGCTTGGTGTCACAAAGTGAGAAAGGTGCTATAGGCAGCTTTGAAAACAGAAGTGCCAGAGGCCATTTGGTCACTTAATATCTCCTCAGCCAGACTACAGTCATGTTTTTCAGTATGGTCTCCAACACTATTTCTCTGTGGTAATAGTGAAAAGATGCTGACATATTTTGCTTGTGCTGCTTTAGATGGAGGTACTACTTAAGTTTTCACACTATATCTGAGTACCATATGAGGTATCCATCTAAAAAAAAATTGAGAAACACTAAGTTTTATTTTTAGCAATACTGCCACATTTAATTTAAAAAGTCAGCATGGGGAAACCCTGGAACTCGCTTAGTCTCCACCTTTATGCGTAAGTTTGACGTGTTCACACACAGTCCTTCCCTGTGAGAATGTCTGCTCATCAATTTTATTCCTGTGTCATAGTATTAATCTACAGTGATGTTTATTTCAATGCTATTAGCCAAAAAATAACATTTTAAGGGATAACAAATTAAAACTTTTATGAGTCTTAAGTCTGAAAGTTGAGACTTAAAACTCATAAAGTACTAAGTATTGTCTTTGTAAAATCATGTGGATTAGACTTGCTTGGGTTCCTCAAAAAGACTGAGTTTTTAACACTGTATACTATTCAGTACAAAATGTGTTGGCTTTTATGTAAGCAGCTCACTAGGAACATGCTGCTTATTAGGATTTTTATAAGCAAAAAAAATCCTTAGGTAGGATTTTTTTGATAGAGGCAGGTCATTACCAGTTTGTCCTACTTGAAAGGACAAACATCGATAAGACAAATGTAAACATTGAAAATAAAAAGGTATTTCCCAATATGCCCTGTGGAACTGGCTAATGGGTACAACTTAAGATAGGAAGATGCTGCATGAAGAGTTTAAATGTTGGAAAATGTCTGGGCAGCTTAGCTCATAAACCACCTTCATATTCGAAGGCATTTGAT